GTGCCTGCCAGCAGGGCCCCTTGGGTTGGGGACTCCCCATGGGTCTGACAGCTGAGCAGGAAGGTGGGATTCAGCAGGGGTACAGAGGGAGGGTGCTGCAGACAGAGGGGATGGACAAGTGTGGGTGTGGTAGGGACAGGGCTTTGTGTAGGGACTGTACACAGTAGGAGACAGATGGTACCAGAGGCCAAGTGGCCAGTGTGACCAAGAGGTGGGCTTAAGTCAGGGCTGGCTCAGTCCTGGGGACTGGGGAGCCATGGAAGGTTTAAGCAGGAGGGAGGTCTGTCTAGGCCTGCAGATAGTAGATGCAGAGAGCACAAATTGGCTGCAGGCTGTAGCTGGTGTGGCCAGTCTCGAGAAAAGGAAGTGGTCCAACCCTGAGACCCAGCAGCTCTGCCCCAGCCAAGGGCAAAAGTCACAGGAGACAGCACCTCTCCCTTTGCCCTTCCTGGGTCCAAATAAAGGAAATTTAAAATATATTTCCCCTTGTGGGAATCGGGCGAGGTGAATGTGGGGGGCGGCATTAGCTGTTGTTCAGGCCCACACTCCCTCTTACATAAGCCATGAGTTAAAAATACCCGCTCCGCCTCACGCTGGCCGTAGGGAGCCCCCACAGAGACGAAAGCACTACTGTTCTAGGTCTGGTGCCCCCAAATCCTGGGTTACTGAGTAGCAAGTACAGGCCCTGGGCCTTCTGGAGGCTTGGGTATCGTGCGGACCTGCCTAGAGGTGGAGTCACCCACCACCCCTCTGTGCCTGTCCTTGATCTGGGCGGCAGCTGGACTCCACCCGTGTTTCCCATCTCTGTCATCCCTCTGGTGGGCAGAGAACAGAAGGCCAGGCCAGAATCCCCATCCCAGGACTCAAGGTAGAATGGGTCTGGAGAGCCACCGAGGCAGGAGCATGGCCCCCCATGCTGGATCCTGGCTGGGGCTTCAGGAGAGAGCAGGGTGCAGCCAGGACTGTTGACCTAGAAGAAGAAAGGAAAGATAGAGGAGGAGGCGAAGGGGAGGATGAGAGGAGTGGGGAGGAGGGGAGGGGAGGAGGAGGAGAGGGGGAGGGGGGAGGAGGGAGGGAGGGAGACAGGCAGCCCTCAGCCAGTTTGCTCCAGTAGCCACTGGAGGCAAGTCAGGCCCTTCACATTCCTGGTTCCTCTGACCCCTTTGCCTGGCTGCTCCCCATTTCTTAGACTCCAGGATCTTAATGCCCAGGGGTGACACACAGAGACACCCCAATGTACGGGTGCTGCCTGCCATTGCTGTCGGACCCACAGGAGAAGCCAGGAGACATCGGCACTCCTGGCCTCACTGCGTGGCTTCTCCTTCACTTCCGTGGCTGATATCTCTCGTGTGGCCTCGCTGTGGCCTGAAGCCCGGCAGACAGAAGCCCACATGGGTCTTTGTGGCTACCGCGAGTGAGCCGGACGGGCTCTGACCTCAACGCCATGAGGCAAAGCCATCAGGGTCTGCTGCCATCAAGGGTTGGTCTTGTGAGGAAGGGCCTTGAGAGGTCTTGCAGGGGCCGCCTAGAGCCAGCCTTGACCCTGGCTGTGGACATGAGGAATCTATGGTGTCTCATAGGTGCAGTTCAAACTCTCCTGGCCTTTCTTGGCCAGTCAGCTATGGCCCCCAACTTCTGAAATGCCACTGTCAGTGAGGCTCATGCAGGGTATGTGGTATGATGGGAGCCCTCCCCTCTGGACACAGACCCTCACCTGTATGCATGAGGCCTGCCTTTCCGCTCCAAGGTCCCTTAGCTGCTGTGAGCCTGGCTCACCCACAATGGCCCTTCCAATGAAGATGGAGGAACAAGTATTTCAGATAGGCCAGCAGCCTAGGTGTGGGGGTTCCCTCACCTACCAGGAACCCCAGGCTAGAAAGAGACAACTGATGTCAGCGCTAGGTACCCAGGGATCCCAGGTGTCCCTCAGCCCCAGGGGCTTGGTGAGGGGATAGTGTTATCTCTGGATTGCTGACATAGAGGCCTGGGTGTGCTCACCACCTGAGGCTTGGGGACTCAGCGTCTTCTCTGCTGGGACAGGCTGGGACTTGAACAGCTTCTGTGGGATAGATTTGTCATCCGTGAGTTGACAGCCCGAGGGGCCACCATCCTAGGGCATGATGGGTCCCTCCACTGTAATGACTCTGTAGATGGGGTGATATAACCATGCTTGCAAAGTCAAGAGCTGAAGAACAGCATTCTCTCCTAAAAGGCCTATGTGTGGATAGTAGACTGGGGTTGATGGCCTCGTAAGGTCCTGCTGAGACTGGGGAATTCTGTACCCATGATCTGTGGCATTAGGCCAGCCCCCTCGCCTCCTCTCTGCCAAAACGGAGGAAGGGCGGTACATTGTTGGCTTGTTAGGGGATGGAATTAAATAATACTGGACTCCACACCAGGTACAGCAACTGCCTGGCTCTGAGATCAGGGTAGAGTTTAGGAAGTGTCAGGCCTGGGAATGGAGGCAGGGGGTGACCCGAGAATGGATTTATCGGAGCCTGAGAGTCATACATGCTTAAGAAATACCTATGTCCTGTCACCTGCCTGGGGCCTGCCGTCAGACCTGGGCCTGGGTCTCTTCTGTCCTGAGCCCCACCTGGCTCATCTCTGCTTTGATGAGGGGTTCTGCTCTACTCCTCAGTGCCTGCCCCCACTCCTCTCTCTCTCTCTCTGGCTCTCTGTCTCTCTCTCTCTCTCTGTGTGTGTGTGTGTGTGTGTGTGTGTGTGTGTGTGTGTGTGTGTGTAAGGGATGCAGGTATGGCTTTGCGCATCTCCTAAGAGGATGACCGGTCCCTCGTGGGATATTGTACTCTGGAGTAATATAACTCGGGGCAGGAAGCAGGGATTCTGCTGGGAGCGAGGCATGTGTGGGCTCAAACAGAGCGAGGACTGTATCGCTACAAGCTGGGGCCCACATGCTCAGGGACCTGGGTCCTCTGTCTCTGCCATCCTAATGTGCACTGGGGCTGGATCCACCGGCACAAACCACACCTACCTGAGCTTGAAACCTTAGTTTCTTTTACAAGATGAGTGATGATGACTCCATGTGGTGGGTAGGAGGGAGACCACCTAACCAAGATTTAGGAAAGGAGGGGCTTCACGGGTTTCTGGGTGGCTCCCTTCTGACCTTCTCAGGGTCAGGCCCAGCAGCCCTACCAGGGACCTCCGTATACTCAGTATGCCACTCTGTATACCAGGCCATCACAAGGTCCCGAGAGAGACAGCAGTAGAGCTGTGTCACTCAGAAGGGACAGCCACTCCTGAGCCGCCCTGATTGGTCACAGAGTGGTGCTGCCTGGTGTCACTCAGGAGGATCCCTGGGCCGGGAGATAACAGGTCCCAGACACGTGCTCGTTGATTGAATGAGGAAGGGCAGAAGCCAAGGCAGGTTTCTCTCCCCACCTTGCAGGTCTTGAAGCCCTGGAGTAGAGCCCGGAGTCCTAGAGGCTTGCCTGACCCAGGGGGTGGGGCTTAGTACTCTGTTAGGGCCAGGCTCTGGCGGAGGACATGTCTTAATCCTAGGTACTGGGCGGGTTGGGTGGGCAACTTCTGCTGTAATGATGAGGGTGATCGGGTCATGGAGGTCGGTATCTGGGTGCGCCTCCTTAGTCTTAGTTGGGCCCCCACCCCAATTTCATCTTACTGCTTGTCTGCTGAATTCACCATTCGCCCATATTCAAACCTAGCTTTCTGAGCCTTCCTGGCAGCCGAGCCTTAGGCAGGGTACCCGACCGACCGTCTGACAAAGGAGAATCAGGAAATTGTCATTCAAACATAGTAGGGCAGAGCCCAGCATGGCTTGGCAGTGTGCTCTGAAAACTGATCTGTCCCATCTCTACCTCAAGCAGAGGAGGAGGGCGCGCACACACACACGCACACACACACACACACACACACACACACACACACACACACACACACACACGTACTCTGTCCTAACTCCTGCTAACATGTTAGTGGTTGTTCAATGCCTTTCCCTTCAGGCATATCTCTGACACAGAGACAACTGTGACGTGTGGTAGCTCTGGGTCTGTGTAATCAGCTGAGTGAACTTCAGCACTTCGTGGCACTTTACAGTTTACACAAACACTTGAACATAGTAATAGCCTTGATAACTGATGCATGTGAGGCCCACGTGCCTGGGTCATTCCATTTTCAGAGGACGAGACTTGGGTTCCTTTGTAGGACTGGGGTCTCAGTTAGAACTGTATGTTTCCAGGCAGGTTTCTGTGTCTCTCTGGGCCACAGATGCCGGTCTGTAAAGTGCAGGGCTGGGGGGGGTGAAGGACGTAGTAGGTGTCTATAGGCTCCTCCCTTGCCAGCCCACCCCCAAGCCACCGCTTCTGAGCCCATCCCCTGTGCCTTAAGAGGAGCAGAAGCCTCTGGATGGGAGGAGGGTATGGGGCTGTGACCACAGAGCACTCTGACTTCTACCTGTCATGGGTGGTTCCAGGCTGGTTCCTCCTGGCTCCTTCTCCATCCTGCCAATAGGATTCTCCTCCATGTCCCCCAAGGCAGGCCATTCCCCTTTCTGGATCTCAGTTTTCTTAGCTGTAAAAGTGGGATGACCACCCTTAGCTCTAGAGTGTCTATGTGAGGATGTGCTAAGTGCAGAGTAAGCCCACAGCAAGTGTCTGTCCAGGGGACTAGACAGTCTCCCCCATTCCTTTACGGTGTCTATGAAGTCCTGTGCACCCTCAGAGGCAGACGCGGGTTTTAGATGGGCTTTTATCTCTCATGGTGTCTGGTCGTCTTTGTCCAAACAGAGATGGGCAAACTCTGATGTCATTTCCTATCTTCTGCCTCCCAGGGAGCGACAGACCTAGAGGTGGTGTGGGTGTGGCGGGGTGGGCTTTTCTTAGGTAGTCTTCACAGCTGAGCCTCTGAGGTCGTCTCCAGCCACGAAAGAGGGCCAGATGCTGCCTCATCGCCCCCTGTACCATCCTCACCCCGAAGGGTCTCCCACTGGCCACTGACTCAAGTGTCTCCTTTCTCCACAGCCCATGACCTCCCTACCAACAAGGCCTCAGCCACCCAGCCCGGCAGTCACCTGCAATGCCTGAGCGTCCACTGCACAGACGGTGACCCCAAGGCCCGCGCCTCCGTACCCACCTGGCGGTCTCTGCACTCCGACATCTCCAACCGGTTCGGGACGTTCGTGGCCGCCCTGACTTGAGCCTGTGGGAGCCCCTCCCTGCCCTGCCCACCCGTGAAGGGCCTCCGTGGCTGAGCAGACTCGTGTTTTTTTTGTTTTTTGTTTTGTTTTGTTTTGTTTTTTTGTCTAGGTTGGTACCTGCTTAGTGGCGCTCGGAATGGAAAGGGTTCGTTTGGAAAGGGGCTGGGGAAGGTTGATAAAAAAAAAAAAAGAAAAACCTCAGAAAATAATTAAAGAGACCGCGTGCCACGTCGTGCCGACACCAGTGTCCGTTCTCAGCCAACAGCGAGCGCTGTCTCAAAGCCGTTTTCCTGCTAGAGAGCTCCCTGCTTTCTGTACTCGGAGTGTGTTCTAGAAGGCCCTTGCCGTGTTTAAGCCAAGGCGGGGTGCACCTGGTACCCCTTTTCTTTTTTTATTCTCTTTGATTCTCCCCTCCTCCTCCCCCTTCTCCTTCCCCGTTGCTTCTGTTCGTCACTGACTAAGATGGAGATCTTGGAGAACAGTGTTCTGGAATCGTCCGGGGTGGAAGCCGCAGGGTCTCTGTAGCGTCCGCTACTCTTGTCCGCTACTCTTGTCGTCACCAGTTAGGAGACAAAGACCACGAGCAGCTTGAGGAACGGCCAGGGACTGGGTTGTCTCCGTTCCCAGAGAACTTGGAGAGGTATTTCCCTCACTGGCCCTTAGCCTTCGGCTAGCTTCCACTTTTCCCACTGGGAACTGCTCCTCTGGTCCCTCCTGGGTTGTGTGCTGGATGCTGGGGTGCTGGGACCAGCCACTTGGAGGAAGGAGCCTCCCGGGGCCATGAACTCCCTTCCCCTTCACTGACCTGACCACTGCACACTCTGACTTCTCTGTGCTGAGCAGGGTGGTCTTGTGACCCTTCAAGGGGACGGGAGAGGAGCGGTCAGTTGTCCCAGTGACCTCCTGGCCCTGCTCTCCCAGATCTCACACTTCCTTCTAGCCCACTCTAAGTGACTCCATCCCTGGGAGGAGGGATTAAGGCAGCCAGACTCAGGCTGAGACACCCTCTCTGATCCTGCAGTTCCCTTACGGGGGTAGGAGGGAAAAAGGATAAAATGAGCGGCTTCATGATGTCCGTTCCGGGCCTCACGTTCCGTTCCCTTCACGGGATATCTCCTGCCCTTTTGATTTCATTTCATTCAGATTTAAAAAGCAGAGCCCTGCCCCATGTGTCCCCTGGGAGAGGCGCTCCCCCTCCCCACAGCCCCCCTTAAGCAGAGAGGAGCAGAGATTGCGGTGCTGATGTGGATGACGTCTTAGGGTGTGGTCTAAACCCTACCGGCCTGTGTGACCCACTGCTGTGGGGCCGTCCGTCCCTGGGAGGGTCAGCCAGAGCTAGCCCTCTAGTCTCAGCTCAGTTTTTTGTTGTTAGTGTGTCTTCCCAATTGCTCCTTTCTGAACCCCCACCCCGACTTGACAGAACCCCCTTCCTTTTCTTAGCAAGAGGCCTGAAGGCTCGGGGCTCTCCAGATGCCCATATTGTTTGTGTTGAGGGACTTTCAATTATGGGAGCCGCTTGCCAAAAGCTGGCTCTCTCCCTCCTCTCCTCCTCCTCCTCCTCTTGGCTGAGGTCTGAACCCCCAGGGTCTACACTTGTTGTCTGGGCAGTGTGATGGGGCGCAGAGGGCAGACAGAAACAGGTGACATGGACTGGTGAGCAAGACACGCCCTCTGTTCTATGCCCAGAGCGGTGAGGGGATGGCCGTAGGAGCATCCTCCAGGCTTTGGTCCAGACTCTACATTCACCCTCAGAGTTTGCGATGCCTAGCTGTCCGAGAGAGCCAGCCTTTCCCTCCCCAAACAAGAATGACTTCTCCTTCACTGCTTAAGGCCGGGGAACGAGTGTCCCAGCGTCCATCAACAAACATCCCAGCATCAAGTCCACATGCAGCCACCGGCATATGGCTCAGGCCACCTCCAAAACCCCGGAAGTGTCCAGTGTTCTCACGTTCTCACTCCCCACGACCCCAGGGTGAAACAGCGTTTAAAATAGCCTTAAGCAAAAGGATGCCATGTCATTAAACTTGGTTTTAGTGGAAAGAGTTTAAAGGCGGACGAAAACCACGTCCGAAGTGCGCGAGAGCCCGGGGACACTGTAATCAGTATGCAGCTAGCTCCAGTAGAGAGAAGGAAATCGCTATTGCACATGTAAAATATGAACCCTTAACCCTGCGGTGCGTGAGCCTGTAAGCTTTTTTGACTCTTAAGGAAAAACCGTTTCTGAAATGCTTGGGAAGACAGTGACAGAAGCTCATGAAACTGAGTGGTATTTTTCTTTCTTTTTTTAAAAAAAAAAATATGTAAAGTTGAGTCTTCCGTATTCACGCATTACTGTATATACGTGTATATGTTTTGCTGAGCGGCTTAAATAACAATAAATACAACGTTAATGGTGTCTGGGGCATGTTTGTGGGCGGGACCTGTTTCCTTCCACAGGGTCCTTGCTCTCTTGGCACACGTATTGTGTCTGGTGTGCCTGCGTGTTCACGTGTGTGTGTGTGTGTGTGTGTGTGTGTGTGTGTGTGTGTGTGTGTGCACGTGCACTTGGAGAAGCCTGAAGTTGACATCGAGTGGCCTTCCTCCAACATCCCGTCCCTTGTAGAGTCCAGCTCTCACCGGTTTGGTTAGCCTGTCTAGCCAGGTGGCCCTGAGGATCCCCCAGCTGTGTCTCCTAAGGGTGGGGGTTACAGGTGGCCACCATACCTGCCCGACTCACATGTCAGTCATCCAGAACGTGTGTGTACACTGTGCACGTGCATGTATACATATGCATACGAGTGTGTGCACATGTATATGTTCTGAGTCAGGTGACCCCAGGGCCTCACAGCCTTGATGTATCCCCCTCTGGGCCTGATCACTTTTTCTCTTACAGGGCAGGGTGGGTACTCACACCTCCTCACAGATCCCAGGCTCCTACCCACTGGGCCTCAGCAGGATTCATTCCCCCCCGCCCTGCCCCGTAGTGACAGCTGGCATGTCTCCAGTTTTGCCCGGTGTGGAAGGACTGCCCCCGCCAGGAACCCCTGTGATGGGGCCAGGGGTGTGGGAAGCCATGGAGGGTTGTGGGACGGTGGCCCTTCTGGAGTCTTGTGTTCAGCCATGTGGACTGATGCCAAGAACGTGGCTGCGGCCTTGGGCACCTCCTTGTTCTCACGGGTGAGATGGGTGCAGTGTGGGGGTCACCTCGGTGAGCGGGACACCGTGAGGAAGAAGGCTCCGGATCCACTGCCGCGGCTTTGGCATTGCTCTGGGGAGAGCTGCATGTCTGCGGGGTAACCTAGGGCAGCCGCCATTCCCTTCTTCCCAGATGGAGCGAAGGTGGGCTGTAGACATGCTCTCTGCCCGTGGAGGAGGAGGAGGAGGAGTGCTTTCCCAGCATGTGCCAAGGCCCTGGGTTCCACCACCACCACCCCCATTTTCCAGGGGGTGCAGGTAGCATCCAATGTGAAGGTCTCCCGTCGTCTTCTGTGGCCCGGAATTCCAGTTTCTGTTTTATGGTGTCACCAAGCTGCCCCTTGTCCCCTTCCCATCTTCCATGATTGTGTCCCCTGTAGTGTGGTCCATGAAATGTGGCAGCAGAAACCTGGGAGGGTTTGTTAACTTCAGCTCGCTGGCCGGAGCCAGACCCCGACCTTGAACTCCGTAGCGTTATAATGGTGCTTGGGTTTCTCTCCTAGCCTGCTACGGGCCGGGCCGCAGAGACACTGGATACTTCCCGAGAGCCCAGCAGCGTGCTCCCGACCACCCGCTCCTCCTCTCCTGCTTCCCCCTCCCTGGAAGTTCATACTATCTAGCAGATCCCGGGATAGGCACAGAAATAGGACAGCCCAGCCAGGTCGTCCAACCCTCCACCTCAGGAGCAAAGACTGCTGTGTCCCACACACCTGGAGGCTCACCTGGCCCTCAAGCAGGCGGTGCCTTGCTCTCCTCGGTGGCACAGTGTACACAGAGCACTCACTACTGACCCCACAGAGCTGGTCTGGGCACAGAGGAGCAGAGCCAGATGCGGGTGGGGACAGATAGGAGATCCGAATCCCCTTGCGAAGGACCCCACTAGCCCAAGGAAATCTCCTGCTGTGGCCAGGCACCATCAAATACCTACAAGCCAGAGGTGGGGTCCTGTGAGGCATGACCACTGTTGTCTCCTTGTGTTCTGAGATCACCTGTGCCAGATGGGACCAAGGGCTCACCTTACAGCCTCAGCTTTTGAGTCCTGTTGCAACAGACACCATGTCCATAAATTATCCCGGTCTAGGAAGGGAACACGGGGAATAAACTGGCAGCTTAAAGTGAGGAGTCCAGTCACTGTAGTGACATAAGGGTCTTGAGGAAGACGTTCCCCAGCAGGGCATTCTGGATAGGGTTTTGAAGGATGCGTAAGAGTTTATCCTACTTCTCTCACCGTATAGATTGACTTTGATTGTTCAGATTTTTATCTTTCGAGTTTTTGAAGTCCTCTTTGTCAAGGTCATGTTTCCTCAGTGCTGTAGCCCAAGGACAGACCATCCATCTTTACCTTAAAGACCCTTCAACCTTTAAAGGGCCCCTTCCACAGTGACAGTGTTTTGCGACCACGGCCAGGACCTGGGGAAGGGCACACGTGTGGAGCACGCTTGTGCCTGTGCCGGACGGGGCTGAGTCATCCTGCAAATGGCCCAGGAAGCACATCACTGGGGTGGGAACCCCAGACACATGCAAGCAACAGGAGGACACACTAGTCCTGGAGAGAGCCGGCTCAGGGACCGGCTCGCTCCTCCACCCCACCCTGACAGTCCTGGGGATGAGGGACAGATGGTGGCCAGGGGCCCCGCTCCACTCCAATCAGGACGTGGGGTGAATCTCCACAGCAGCAAGGGTGTGAGAGGGGTACGTGGGGGTGCAGAGTCAAGGGCGGGTGCGTGCATCACAGCCCAGGGTCCACCCTTCGTGCCTCAGTTTGCTTGTTTGTTATATGGGGAGGTGTAACTATGTCCCGGGTAGTTCTCATGGTCAGCTTGACAACCTGGAGTCACTGGAAGAGGGAACTGCAGAACTGCTTCCATCAGGTTGGTATGTGGGGAAGCCTGTGGGGCCTTTTCTGGAGTGACATGGATGAGGGAGGGCCCAGCCCACTGTGGGTGGTGCCGCCCTAGGCATTGTCCTGACTTCCTTCAAAGACGAAGACGGTGTGGTGGTCTGAGTGATAATGGCTCCCCCGTTATGTATTTGAATACTTGGTCCCAAGTTGGTGGAACTGTCTGGGAAGGATGAGGAGGTGTGGCCTTGTTGGAGGAGGTGTGTCACTGGGGGTGGGCTTTGAGGTTTCAAAAGGCCAGGCCTGGCCCAGTCTCTCCCTCTCTCTCCCTCTTTCCATCTCTCCCTCAGTCTCTCCCTCCCTCCCTCTCTCTCCCTCTCCCTCCCCCTCTCTGTCTCTCTCCCTCTCCCTCTCTCTCCTCTCCATCTCTCCCTCTCCCTCAGTCTCTCCTTCCCTCCTTCCCTCCCCTCTCTCTTCTCTTCTCTTCTCTTCTCTTCTCTCTCTCTCTCTCTCCTTCTCTCTGCCTGTGACTCAGATGTGAGATCTTATCTACTGCTCCAGCGCCATGCCTGCCTACCCGCTGCCACACTCCCCGCCATCATGGACTCCAAACCTCTGGAACTGTGAGCCCCCAGATTAAAGGCTTTCTTTTATGAGTTGCCTTGGCCATGGTGTTTTATCCAGGCAATAGTAAAGTAACTGTGACAGATGGTCTGTGACCGGGAAGTGTAAGCCAACCCTTTTCTGCCCTAAGTGGCTTTTGGTTAGAGTTGGTTTTGGTTACAGCGTCTTATCACAGCAGCAAAAAGGGACGCAGATGAAAAGCTGACCACCTCCTGGGAAGACGCGTCTCAGGGTCACAGGAGATGCCCAGTCTGAGGAGCACCAGGACTCACAGGTTCCAGTAAGTCCTTGCCCTGTGCTGGGACTGGGGCAGGAGGGTGCAGTGAAGTGTCTGTCCGTGTGTCCTGTGTCCAGAGGCTGCTGTGCGTCCATCCTGTGCTGGCTCTGGATGCTGAGATGACCCTTGTTCAAGCTGAGCTCTTTTGTAAGTTTAAAATGTGCTTAGCTTTCAAAGCCAGGCCAGGAAAAAGAAAAGGTATTAAATACCTTACTAATTAAAATTGAGTTTTAAAAAAATTAATAGTGTTGAAAGAACAATTTGACTATCCTATGTTTTCTCAATTAAAATGTGGTTGAATGGTTTTCTGTTACTGTTGTGTCTCTGCTTCCAGCGGGTATAACAAAGTAATCAAGCCTGGGTGTTTTCTAGAGCAAAGAGGTTTGGTGAGCGTGCAGTTCTGAACCCGTCTGCAGTCACAGTGTGGCCACAGTGTGGTCACTGCCTGACAGTGGTGAGGGAAGGGGGGGAGGGAGGGAGGGAGGGAGGGAGGGTGGGAGGAGGGAGGGAGGGAGGGAGGGAGGGAGGGAGGGTGGGAGGAGTGGGGAGGGAGAGAGGGAGGGAGGGCAGAGTAGGGGAACAAGAATGGGGGAGACTGAACTTACCTTGCTGTGGGAACTAAGCCAGCCCCAGAAACCCCACCCAGCCATGAGACAGCCAACACAGGCTGCCAAGGGGAAGTCCATTCCTGGGACTGACTTCTGCGGGACACTGAATGCCCCTTAAAGGCCTCACCTGTGCACGGTGACACCATCGGAGAAGAAACACACACACGTGGGGGCTGGATAAGCCCTGCCCTGCCCAGGCTCAGAACAGCACCCGCAGCTGAGCTCATGGTCTCCCTTGGGTCAGTTGTCTGCGAGAAAACAGCTGGGTGGGTTCTCAAGCTGCTTGGCCTTCTTGATGGAGGCAGAGCAGCAGCATGGGCTAGGGGCCTCCCTAGGAGCTCCCTTGGAGCAAATCCCTAGGCAAATCACCTCACCCTCTGAACTTGGCTCCTTTAGCTTCAGTCTTGGGGAAGGGATGCTTCTAGAGTGTTCTTAACTGAGTGCTCTGCTCTTAGTAGGTGTTCAAGAAACAAGACATCTCCTGACTATCACACACTGGGTTCTCAGCATGAACGGGGAAGGCAGGCGGATTGGCGTGAGATTTATTTCTGCTTGTTGCTGTGCGGGAGAGGGGACTCGGTGTCTCCATTCCCCGTTTGTGAAATAAATAATATGAACATTGGTTTATTTTTATTTGTTTTTTTATTTAATGGTGTAAGTGGGAAGTAGGGTAGAGTGAAGGTGGGGTGCATACAGGGTGGCGGGAAGCAGGACAGGGCCTGGGCACCCGAGCAGGGGGTCCCCCAGTGTGCCCCGGGGCCCCATGGGGGGCACAGAATAGACCCTCTTGCCTCAGAGGGATGAGTAGGTACACAGAAAAGGTATCACTTCCTTTTAAAAAGATTAGAAAAGGGAACCAAGGCTGGACAGGA